CTAGATAAATAGTCAACAACGTTTGACCATTTGTATTTTTGGCTGTGAAACAGTAATATTAATCTACATTTGTAATAATGGATTAGTTTTAAGTGTAAAACAGATTTAACAAGTATATCGAAACACTAGCACATGGATAACAAGTTAAATTAATCCAGAATTTTAAATTATCCTTTTTATCTAGCCAGTTGGTGAGTTTTAGATAGTTCTCATGAAAAGGTGTATCATGAAACGTTCCATTATTTTATGGAACTCTGGATATTTTAATGTACCAAATACAAAATTCCATGAAGAGGTTTACTTTGAACTAGGCTACCTGGGGAAGTTTTCCTTAGACTGACTGATAAGACAGTCCAGTAAGATAATGACTAAGGTTGAACTGGAAACATGATTTGCGGCAGTATTCGAATAAGCTGTCTCGAAGCACATACTATCATTATTAAGAAGAATCAGTATGTAGTGAGACGAGATCATTTCGTATTTTAAACGTGGAATGCAAGATTTTATCTATGAAAGGTTTTATTACTTTGAAATGGGACAATTTATCATTATAATCGTATTTGTAATGAATAGAATGTATAAGAAAAACAGACAAGGTCTACACAGTTCATTTGCCAGATGCTTACTGACATCAAGATGAATACCAGACTTACTGATAATGTTTTAGCTATTTAGTGTTTTTTTACTTATATAGCTGATAAGAGGTATTAAACACTGGTCTTAGTGCTCGATTTTAGGAGTCAGCGGGTCAGAAGCTGTGTACCTGGACACTGTCCAGCATGCGCATTTTTAGTCAATATGAAACTAGTATTTCTTTGGTGATTTGAATCCAGGTTTCTTGAGTTAGTGGCCGATAGACTTCGATCACTGACAGGCAATTAGGACTAGACAGCTACATGGGTTATAATTTTGCGTACAAGACTCCAGGTTGTTTCCTTTTGACAAGTACCAATGTGGATAGATGAAAAAAGAAGCTGAGCACTTCTTAAGTATAAGATTTCAATTACTGGCTTCCGAAGCCACAACTACAACTGAAACATCCTAGAAACAAGCGATCTCCTTCAAGGTATCTGTTATTATTCTGAAACCAGTGTATTACAGCCGCTACACGACTACATTAGTGACAAACTGTGATAGCGGGAAAGTCAACAAAATATATTGCAATTTCAGTCGCAGCATAAATTTAAATCAAGTTACATTACATCCTTTCTGTTGAATCTCAAAAAGTCAGAAACTAATTTAAGGCGTTTATGAAAAATATGTCATCAAAATACAGAAAAAGCCTTGCAAGCATTATTGGTGTTTTTTTCAGTTGTACTGTTGTTTTTCGATGACCCAGGTTAGCGTACAGTACACAAATAATAGTATGTTATTGTCTTTATATTTCATTCCAGTTACTGGTTTACAACGGAGTACACTGAATATATTGTGCAGTAAATTTGAAAAAATGTTTGGGAAGGTTTTTGAAATGAAAAAGTTACAAGTTTGTATAAGACCTACTAATATCCAGATCAGTACAAGTGTGCATCTGAACGACTGATGGTTATACAGTTGTCCGTAAACCTTTGAAGATTGAAGTTATCATCCATTGTACTTGGTGCTTAGTGTTGTTTGGAGTGAAACAACATGATGTATGAGAACATTCGTTCAGTACGGTAGAATACTTTAAGTTGACTTGAAGATATTGATAATTTCCCTCGTTTGACTTGCTAAACCGAATCATTTAGCCTGTGTTGATGAATGAGCATCTTTGCACAGTTATCTCGATGTTGGCTTGAGTTCAGTTTCCATACTGCGTGTTCGATGATGATAAACAATGTGTTCTCGTCCTATTTCTTTACTTGTAATCTGTAGGCCAGTGATTAACAGCATTCATACTGATACCGGAACCTAACATCTAGCTCTCTGAGCGTCATAGCATTACTTCGTAGGCTGCAGACTCATCTGAACTATCTGTCGCGAAATATTAGTTGTTAAGGTAAAACGGTGCCTATATGTTACCGGAGACTGATCATTTCGATTTATTAAGCTGACAGATTAGAAATTACAAAAAATAAATAACAAGTTATATTATGATTATTTCAGTCTTTTATTAATCAGATTCTTGCCTTGGAAATCAAGATAATCTTTGATGAACAGATGAAAAAAGTTTTTGAGTGCTTTGCATGACTGTATCGGTGACAGCATAAAAGTGCTGGACTTTTTTGTCATTGATAACGATGAACCATCTATTCAGATCAGCGTAATATTAGTAATTATTACTGTATATTTCACATGCTTTCTGTAATGGAAAAGGAACTGTTAGTAATTGCATCATGACATTACTTTGGTAGTTTTATCATCCATTTTAGCTTTTAAGAAAACTCACAGAGTCATTTTGTATAATTTCTAATGACAGTAGTGAACAATGTTGAACATAAGTGAAGCTGTGACATCTCAGCCTGCTGCACACTGGTACTAGATTCAATGTCTGTTTTTATTATTATTTTGGTCCGTTTACCCTTAAAGTGGTCTGTAAAACAATCTGATAAATGGAAAGAAATCCGAGATGAATCCCCATACACATTATCCTTAGTTGTCATTTACTTATTTCATAAATAAATTCACATTAAAATGATGTATACAGAGGTGTAAGATGGTGCTAAGTAGAAGTGGTGGGAAATAAATGCAATAGAGTTTATGTACACAAACCTTGGAAGTTCGAAAATGAATACTAGGCCTCATTATGATTGATACTATTAATGCAAACAATTAAGATAGTCAGAAAATAACTCTTATTGAATTTACAGTGACAAAAATATGTGAAGGCCAGTAAGGATTGGTAGCACAGTTGAGCTGAGTGAATCAGCTTCAGACAGATGCAATCAAAGCAAGAGTTTTCATTGTTAACTGGAAGATCATTTGGATGACATAAACCTATTTACCTGCAAGTCAATTCTGAAGGGTGTTGAAGTGACCGAGTGGAAGTGACCGACATTATAATACTAGATAAGAGAAACGCTACTAAAGCAATGAGACACTTAGACTGGATACGAATAGCCACTGTTCTTTCTCAACATGATGCTTCGCTGAGCTGGGAAAATCAGATGAGAAAGACTGGCCCGTCACTGTAAAGAAGGCAAATTCATTTGACAAAAACATCATTTATATTCAGTTTTTCCCCAGAAAATAAAGCCACAACATCAGGAGTTGGATACTTGTTGTGACTGATCACCTGTAGGACAAAATTTTCCGCTAAAGTTTTCCCTGGCCACACACTAACACAAAACAAGGTTGAAACCCAAAACTTTAACTTAGCATACGATGACTTAGAATAATCATTTCGATATAAGCTGCTTCCTATCAGTGTAAAGACTAATTTATCAGAAAAGGAGCCATAAATAAGTAACGGCAAGTAATAATACTGGTTGAATGATTTTTATTCAGCAGGACATAATGAAAACCGATCGGTGTCAGAGCTTGTGAAAGCGGTGTATCCAGCTACTTTGGCTTCGAATTCGATGGAATGAAAAGACAGAGGTGTGGTTTCAATAGAACCCAACTGATCCACCTTCCAGTTACTACTTTTGTTTGTGTTCTAAATTTGTATATTTTTTCGTTTTTCTCTTCCTGACTAAGAACATCGTGATATGCTCAGATTTTACGTTATTACATTGATAGAAGCATTCGGTTTATAACTGTCTTGTGCTTAAAATCCATTTAGTCTGCTGTTAAACCCTGATAGAACTGTAGTACTTGTAGATCTCAGAAATGAACTACCTTATGTGGCATCATTTTACAGGTTAGTTATTTATCGAAAAAAGTCTTTCCACAAAACACTAAAACATTTCAACAAGTGGTCTAGATGGCGAATTATCAATGACTGATATTTTCAGTTCCACATCCTTTCGGTGGTTTCAAATTTTGGTGTTTTTAGTTGTCATTGATAACGTTGGAAAGACCTGATAAGTTTACTCAATCACATTTTCGTTCTACTTTAAAATCAGAAGTAGCACGAGTTTAAACAAATGAATAAAATGTCAAAGCAGACAGCATCAGTCACTGTCTGGAGCTTCCACTACAGAGTTCGATAACTTTCGATGTAAACCTGGAAATCTAGATAGAATAGAAGAAATTTTAAAGACAACAAACTGAAGTTATAAAACCGATATTCTGGATTGTATTCTGTTTATCTCTTCTACTTATATTGGGATTAAGAATTCGATGTAATTAAGGTGGATTTATTATGAAACGATTAACAGAAAGACATTTTTTTACTTCCCACTTATCGAAGGACCATCTGAACATCTGTCCAAAAGTAATAATTAATACTGAGTCGTATTTAGACATTGATGAAGTCTGTTAACAATCATTCACTGGTGATTACTCACGCTATCAACAAAAACATATACTGATAAAACACCTACAGCTAAGTAAATAAATTACGACTTTCCTTGCAAAGATGTGAACGGCTGTTTGCTATCCATGCTAAACTTGAATAGTAAAATGGATAGTGTTACTTCAATTCAAATGAGGATAGAACAATATTCAGGTACTCACTAGTTTTTCTTGAGTAATTTAACAACTAATATCATTTTGTGTTTTGTAAACGCTTGCCTGTGTAGTAATAATAATAATCATAATAAGTGCTCGTTGAATGTGTATTTGAAATATGTGATGTGTTTAAATAGCAATTACTCGCACAGCTGAAATTATTGACTTGTTTAACTCACTCAAATGGTGAATTCCACCAAACGAGTGACTGAACGCTGACTCAAAAGACAAAACAACTGACATCCCATGAGTCCATTTAAACAAATTGTTTATCTAAATACCAATGGTCACCCAAAACTTGCTGAGGGATAAAACAGCCAATCACTTCCTGACATAAAACGTAAAGGTAGATTTCTTAAAGTACTGAGTTTCGAAACGATTTTCACTTCAATCAGTAAAGCACAATTTTATGCTATACTTTTTTTCTGTTTCCGGTTTTTTCTTTCTATTTATGAACTACTTTCAAGTTTGCTGAATTCCCTAGACCGATTTTGAAATTACCAAGATTGGAATTTCTAGATTTAAGCAGTAATCATATAGAATCCCTGCCATCTTCAATAACAGATTTGACAAGTCTGGAGAGTTTATTGCTTTTTGACAATCGATTAACAAGTCTACCTGAAGACATAGGTCAGTTGAGAAATATTCGGTGTTTATGGTTAGGCGATAATCGATTGGAAAGTTTACCCCAGTCAATTGTTGAACTACGTGGATTAATATGGTCACCGCTTTTATCACCAAGTACAACAGTTGGAGGGAATCCTTTGAAAGATCCTCCAATAAAAGTAAGTTCCAGTTATAAAATCCAATCATCAGATTCCATTTCTAATTGATCCATTCAATATGTCAACCGATGTAATTTTCAAATATCACTTTCCAACCAGTGAATTATGAAATCGTTTGGTGCCTTGATGAATTACGTAAAAATATATTTAACAGCTGCATACTTTTGCAGTCATCAAATGAATAAACACTGACTAAGGAACTTCAACAACTAGACTGCGTTGCTTTTGAAGTTACATAATGAACTTTGACAGGGAAGAAAGAGATCAAAGTTTCTGTCTTAATAATTTAGATACTATTGTACTACAGAAATAACGATACAAAGGGGAAACCAACGAAAATATCAGCATGATTTTGACTGACCTCGGTAAATGATTCATGTAAATAAACCAAAGTGTAAGGCTCACAGTGATACAGTATTATTTACTTGATTACGTTTCGAGCATAAATTATTGCTCATAATCATTGATATGATTATGAGCAATAATTTATGCTCGAAACGTAATCAAGTAAATAATACTGTATCACTGTGCGCTTTATATCAAATAAACAAATCTAATATGGAACTACATTCTACCACAGTGCCCAAGTTTTTCACTTATATCAAAGTGTAAGGCGCTGGGAAATCATCCCTAAGCAGAATGGCCTTTTGCAAGTTCGGTTTACGGATGATTAATCTGCCTAAATATAACAAATTGTATTGTATTTATTCACGAACGATTTCGGTGAACAAAATAAATGTATGTGTATTGCATAGAACTCTAATTCACATCATAAACCAAGGTAAATTAATTCGGTTCCAATAACTTAATGCTTGAACAAGTTTTACAAACTCACAACTTCGCAATTTATTCTTGTTTTATTTCTGTGGTTGGATAGCAGGTAACATAACCTAGTAGGATTTTGTGTTACAACTAAAATTCTTTTCGTATCCTGATTAAATACTTTGGTTACTGGCTAAGGAGATATGGATTTCATCTGAATTGGGACTTATCAGCTGGATACACCTACGTTTCAGTGATTGGCAATGTTGACACAGGCTGAAAGCTGTGATTCGGCGCTAAAAATGCTAGACGCAGATATTGATTAGGAGACTGAGCTACGATATTCATATCTTTAACAAAAAGCTTTAGTTGTTCCTGATGTTTTGAGCCTTTCCCACATCAGTTTACAAAGTTGGATTGACCACTCTCTGCTGGCACACAGAATACTTCTAGAAATGCTTGAATATTGCAGTGTAACTAGCCATTATCTAATATATATTGAGGATTTGATTACAGACAATAACTAGGCATCGGTAAGAACAGCTGACATACTGATAGGACCCGATCTCTTCAATCCTTTGAAGCAACAAGAAGGTCGAAAATTGTATTAACTGTCTTCTCCTTTTGTTGACCATTTATCGGGGTAACTGTCAATGATTAAGAATGTTGTAACTTTATTCTTATTTAAGAACAGATGTCGATGATAAAGCTTATGAGACATATAAAGATGAAACTGCATGTTAGTCGTTCACTTTTGATTTGCTATCTAATGGGTACACTTACACTTCTTTCTTCATCTCATGTTTAGAGGTTTGTGAGGACTTTATTAATTGGTTTCAAGTTGGTTTTCATCACGGGCTGACATCAGTACGAGAACCAATGAAAACCTGGGAGCACAAGACAGCTACTTTTTCCTAGTTTAGTACTCCTTGGCAGTGGGGACTGTCGACTCCACCAGGGTCGAACCCGGGACCTTCGGGTTCCACAGCCAGTACATTGTCATCAAGCTACTGGGTCAAAATCCAGTGCTTCATATTTTCCTACCTATCTCAGTCCGCGATAAAGTTCAACATTCATCCAGTGTCATCGTGGAGTACTCGTTCTCATCTCCCACTCGTTTTACCCTACCGATCACGACTTCTCATTAGAACTTCTGGAATATTGTTTCTCGAAGCAAGTGACTAATGTGCACTATACAATAATTCAATTTGAAGGTCTGTTACTCATAAACAAACATGCAGAAAAATTTATTTCTTGGCGAATCCAGCTAACTTATGTGCCAATGTAGTTGAAAGTAAACATAAAACTGACCTAGGAAACCACAAATTTATGCTGGTATGCTAATTTTATATCCACACTAATCAGACAGTAGATGACGACATGTTTTCGCTGTTAGCCTGCGAGGCAATCTGATCATATTTATGTTTTGATCGCAATGTTGAATAACTTGATATTGTGGCACTTTGAATGTGATTTTAGGTGAATTTAGGTATAGTTAGTAGGGCGTCTTAGATCTGCTCTTTGTCGACATGTATCTACAAGGCGTATCTCAACCCTTTAGGGAAGTGAGACCCCCACACAGCTTCTAAGTAGTTCTAGCTTGGCCAACGGTTATCTAGTTTACTAACCACTCTATAAAACCTATACGTAAAATTCAGGTAAGTACCAAGGATTAAAGAGTATGACAGTGATCACTTTTCAATAACCTTTTGGTGTAATCTTCAAAATGTTACTTATGACCGACATAGATTAGCTGTGACATATGTAAGCGCGGCAATAAGCGAACTTTAATTTCAGTCTTTGAGGGTTTTTAGTTCCCTAAACACCGAAGCACACTGCAGATAAATTCCTTTAAGTGTAAAGCCTAGGCCTAGTATAGATTCCTAGTGCTTGCTTTCAACTACCGAATATTGAATTTTAAACATAATGCAAGCCGTATTGGCGGTGAATACCTAGTTTACGTGTATGATAGTGAATGATGTATTACTGACCTAGTCATGTGCATCCACACGCCAGTTCTAGTTTCACTACCTCCTCATATGGATGGAAAAGTTGTTACCAGTTATAATCGCAAGCTCAGATTTCAGAATAGTAGACCGATAGCAGACATTATTTATAGTGTACGTAGGTCTGGTTGCCTATTAGAGCCAGAGAATGGGAGTGTAGATATGACCAAATTCGTTGATTGAGGATAGTGTGCTATAATGTTGTATATAAACTGTTATTATTATCATTAGTCCCTTGGGTTCCTGATGGAACATAGGGCTTCAGTAGCACGTATCCAGTGACCTCCGTTCTCTGAGATCTTTTGAACCTGGTTCCACAACAGCCCACAAGCTCTCATTTCCTCCTCGCACGATCTCCTCCATGTCACCCTCCGCCGGAACGCCCAACTCGTCGCACCCTATCGGGGTTCCACTCGACGACCTGGCCTGGCGCATGATGTCCCCAGTCGGCCTTCTCAGTCTATGTTCAATCCATCTATCTCCACTTCCTTCCAGTGCATATTTGTTGAGTGATAGGTTCTTGGTTGGTTCGTTCCCAGAGCTCCTTGTTGCTTATTCTTTCTGGCCATCTGATCTTCAGTAGCGAGCGTAAGCAGTTGTTGATGAATGTCTGTAGTTTATTGGAAATCCCTTTCGTAACGCATCAAGTCTCTCAACCATCACACAGAAGCACTGACTTGACGTTGGTGTTGAAAATCCGGATGTTGTTCCACATGCTGAGAGGAGTGCAGAAGATCTCCACACTGGTTTCAGGCTAATGAACGCCTGTCTTGCTTTTCCGATCCTGACTGGCTTTGACATCCTCGTCTGTGCCTGTGCCGCCTGTAGTTGAAACAGTGTTTCCTAGATAGGTGAAGGAGGTTACTTCCTTTAAGTTTCTGCCGTTGATGGTGATTGGAGTTTGTTGTTGTTGTTGTTGTTGTTGTTGGAGTTGTTGGTGCGGTATCTTCATCACCTCTGTCTTCTCTATATTCACTTGAAGTCCCATCTTCGCTGTCTCTTCCATCAACTTGTAAGTTTCCGCCTGTAGATCTTCAAGTTTGTGTGACATCAGGCACAAGTCATCGGCGAAATCCAAATCTTCTTCTAGTGTCTTTTCATCGGTCCAGCTAGAGTATCCCCCCTTCTCGCTCCCCACTGTTTGTCGCATGATCCAGTCGACCACAACACAATCAGGAATATCATGGATGATAGTAGGCAACCTTGTTTCACTCCTGTCTTCACTTCAAAAGCATCACTGAGCTTCCCATTGTGAATTACTTGGCTGGTATGTGGCGTCTTCATAAAGTTGTTGAATGAGGCGGATAAAGGTTTGCGGTACTCCATAGTAATGAAGCAGTTTCCAAATTACCTCTCGATCGACGCTGTCAAAGGCCTTCTCAAAGTCGACAAAGTTGAGGTAGAGAGCTGATTGCCATTCTAAACTCTGTTCTATGATGATGCGTAGTAAGACGTTGCAATTTGGTCTGCACATGATTTGTACTTCCTGAAGCCTGCCTGTTCCGGTCGTAGTTTTGAATCCAGTGAATCCTTTAGCCTCTCCAGGATGATGCGGCTTAACATTTTGCTTGCTCTGAGTGGACAGGAGAGTGATTCCTCGCCAGTTCTTGCAAACACTGAGGTCTCCCTTCTTCGGCAGTTTGACAAGGTAACCCTTCTTCCAATCACTAGCCAGGTACCTTCTCTTCCTTCCACACCTTCTTCAATAGTGGTGTGAGCATGTCGGTTGTTGTCTCTGCGTCTGTTCTCAGTGCTTCTGGCGGGATCCCATCTGGTCCTGCTGCTTTCCCACATTTCAGTAGCTTTATGGCCTTCAGGACTTCCATTTTTGTTGGAGGATTTATGTTCACTTGTAGTTCAGCGGCTGCAGGTGGTATTTCTGGACGAAGTGTAGGTGGTGGTGGTGGTGGTCGATTCAAGAGCTTCTTGAAGTGGTCGGCCCATTGTTTCCTTTGTTTCTCTTCTTTGTTAATTAAATTTCCGTCATCATTTTTTATTGGTTTCGTCTTTGCTGTGTTGATCTCTTACCAGACAGCAAGTAACCTGGTTATTTGACACAATGTTGTCAGGTCTCTGTCTCTCCTACCTGCAGCCTGTTCTGCTTCACTTGCCAGTGTTTCGTAGAAGTGTCTTCTGTCTTTCCGTGCACTCTTCTTCACTTCTTTGTCCAGTGTAGTGTTTTATACATTGTGCTCAGTTCCTCTTGTCGTTGATCATCCATGCACTGGTTTATCTTCTGCTTCACCATCCTCCTCTCCCTGCTCTATCAGCTTCCATGCATCTATCGAGATCCATTCCTTATCGTCTTTCTTCTTCCTTCCTTATACGGTTGTGCAGGTCTCTTTCCACATCTCTTTCAGAGACTTCCAGTGTTCTTCCACACAGGTTTCTTCAGGGATGTTGCTCAATATCTCCCATTTTGTCTTGATGGCTGGCTGACATGAAGATTTTCTTCGTAGTTTCATCCTTCTGTTTCAGTACACACTGCCTGGCCTCCAATCACCAAATCGTTGAATGCGCAGAAGCCTGCAAACAGTTCTCCATTCTCGTTCATTTCACCTAGCGCTTCTCTACCCATGGTTAGTTCTCTTCCTGTGTTGTCCCCTCCCAGTTTGGCATTCATATCACCCATTAGAATTTTGATGTCGCCATCTAGGGTGGGGTCTTTTCCAGTGCTGATTGCAGTTATCTGTAGAATTCCTCCTTCTTCTCTCCATCTGCATTATTTGTAGGTGGGTAGCGTAGCATTGTACGATTGTGACTTTCCTCCCTTTTGATTTGAATCTTGGTGTCATGATCCGGATCCTGGAGGAGATTGGTTCCCACTGCATGATGGAGAGCCTTCGATGCTGTTGGGGACATCATGATAGCCACTCCCCCCGTGTGCTCATGGTTGTCGTCTAGGTGACAACATCGGAGTAGATTATTGATTCTCCAGTTGACAGTTTGGAGAGTCCACTTCCGTTTCATCTGCTTTCGCAAATTCCTAACACTTCAATGTGATACCTTCTCATCTCTTTTGCAATCTGGGCAGCCTTACTAGGTTCAAACATTGTCCGAACATTCCATATTTCCATTCTTACTTTCACTTTTATCGAGAGAAGAGAAGACACACCAGTCAATTGGCTTACCGAAGGCTTTCACCAACTGGCGTCATTTCGTCTCTCCGATTCCAGCGAGGAATAATTTTGTTTTTATGTTTTATATTTTGTTTGTGCTTTGAAGTTTCTTTAGCGGTTGGATTGGTTTTTACGGGGTAGGGTTGCTAGCCCTACGCCTAACCTCCCCTCTTTACCCAGGCTTAGGACTGGCTAGTAACTAGTGGACTAGTTAACCAGGCGAGGTTAAGAGTTTTATGATAGCTATAGCTAAATCTTTCTACCACCTTCCATTACCCAACAGTACAAACCTTAAGAATCTTACTTTTTGGAAGCTTTTGTGAGCTTCTGAACAGTTTTCTCGGGATTAATTAAAAGTTTCTGGATGCATCTGACTGATGTTATTTCATTGCTTCCCCAGAAAGTTATATCCATCATCAGCATGTGAATAAATGCCCTGGCATTAAGTCTTCTCAAAATGACTGCATATTGTTCCTTTACTTATTTATTTTCTCCTCAGTTAAACAAACCGAAAACGGAACACAAACGTCTATTATGCAACAAATGACAACGTTAGCGTTTCAAGAAGAAACTGAATTCAACCAACTAATTCAGATAGTTAGGCGATTCACATACGTTCACTAACTTCAGCAATACGCCCACTTCAATACTTTTAGCAGTTTTTGAGGTATTATCTGATCTCTTGTTTTTTTTATCACGCCTATAAAGTTTGCTTTTTGATCTAGTGTGAACTCATCTTAGAAGCTATTTCAAAAAACAAATGACTTTACTTCTTCTTTCCGAATTTAAAGTTGTCTCCTAGTTTCGGTAGTGAGCTGAAGTTCATTAATTTGGCATTTTACATGTAACAAGAAAGTTGAAGGTTCAAATCCTGTTTCATCTGTACAAAGTTACACCAGCTCTCCATCAGAGTCTTTATCACCCGTACGTATGCACTCAGTGAGTAACAATTATTTTCTCGTATTGAGAATAGGAAGCTGTTGCTTATTGGTTAGTCAGTTGATTATCAACCAGTTGGTCACGGGTTCGAACCCAGCTCCACCTATCGAGTTTTGGGAAACCTTGAAGAATCATTAGCTCTCATAAGATAGTTGTGGCGCAATGCCTACTGCATGAACGATGACAAGGCTGCTGACTTAGTTCCAGTTCGGTTCGTTTCGGATACTGTAAGAGATTCTATTATTTTTATTCTATCAAAAATCACTGCTACCAGAATGAACTTTTTGTATTGTACAAACTATTGAATATTGAATTATACACATTTCAGGTGTGCAACGCAGGCCTTGAAGAACTTGACAGACATTTCGGTGTCGAAATAATCAAATGATTTATTCAGGAAAACCAAAAAGAAAACAGTTCTAATTTACTGCTTTGGTGTGTTAGAATGAACTATTACTGCCAATAATTGTTTTGAACAAAGCAAGGAGAACAATAGTAGCAGAATTAGCATGCATATATTTCGTGGATTCTCTTCAGTGGCTTTACAACCTATGGAATATAATGTTTTTGATGACCAATATGTCATTTAATGTACTTAAATAAATTGACAAGATATTTTACGAAGTGAGATGGAAGTTAACAAAGATTTAGGTTGACCAACATTAATGAACTCGTTGAGACTACTCTAAGGTTACCCATTTATGCTATGATTGGATGAAAATTCGAGAGAATACAAGAAAAAAAAGTATATATATATATATATATATATATATATATATATATATATATCGTGAATTAACAGAAGTTGAAAATATGGACTACTGGATTCCAAACCAGTGGCTGAGTGGTAGAATGTTGGCCACGGAACCTGGAGGTCCTGGGTTCGATCCTTGGTGGGGTCGTGGGTGTGCACTCCTAGGGAGTCTCGTACTAGCACGAAACAGCTGTCGAAAACCCCAAGGTTTCCAATATTCCTCCAACCTTTGTCAGTCCATGATGAATATCAACTTGAAATCAATGAGTCCCCGCAAACCGCCAAAATCTATGTCCAAGCCATCTCACTCCAATAAAATTTTACAACCTCATCAGTCTAATTGCTTGTGTTACCTAGTACCCTACCCTGACCTCAATATTGCTCATGCTTTGATCCCACCAAACGCGAGTAATGCGATGAAGACACCTATGATCTTACACATGCAATCGCTCCATATATTCCACTTCTATTAGCCATGTCTCCCAGCCGTACAGCAGGGCAGAACGAACTGCAGAGCAGTAAACTTTTCCTGCCATAGATAGTCGGATATCTCACAGTCGGCGCAACAAGTGAGGCACGTTAGCAAATGCCAGACGGGCCTTCTGTACCCCAGCTGATATTTCGTCAGCAACTAGCCCGTTCGAGCAGATGCGACTGCCCAAGTAGTGGTCGACATATTCCACCACTTCACTCATTATCATTAGGATGGGAGTACTTGTAAAGAGGGACACGACATCCAATGAAACGTCAACTTTCAAAGTTACATCACAGACCTTAGGTCCAAGTGACTGATTGTCCCAGTCTTCGAGAAGGGAGAGAATTCCTCCTGTCATAACCACAAGGGAATCAGTATTCTAGGTTCTATAACCGCAAGATGACTGAGTAAAGCTTGGGAATAGTAAACGCGAGGAAAGCGTGTATCTTTAACACGTGGTCTAGTGAGTATCGACCAGACATTCACGCTCCGCCGGGTTCTAGAACACACACATTTTTACTGGTGCCCATCGCTAACTGTATTTGTTGACTTGAGGTAGTAGTCGACATCTTCGGTTGAGCGGTCGTATCTATCACTGAAAATGGTGCTATGTAGGTACATGGTCATGTTTAAATTTTTGCATTCGAATACCCCTGGGTGTCTTAAACCTATGGTTAGTGGTCATGTGAACTTCGGTTGGTGGAGGATTTCCACTCTGTTGCTTCTTATTCAGCTCTTCCATTAATGTGTTTATCTACGTTCTCCTCTCATCATCTGACTTCATAGCGATCAGTTTTATCGCAGGAGACTTCTTAGTAGGCCTAGATTACGCCAGTGATGCAGTCTTTTCAGGTGAAGACATTAACAAGATGCAAAGTCTTCTACACACATTGAGTACCAGTTTGAGAATGTATGGGATGCCCTTCTCGTCATGCAAAATTAAGTTGTTTCTGCAGGACTGGTCTGCTTTGGTGAGTTGTCTAAAAGTATGGAATGAATTGATTGAATGCGCCGACCACCTCACTTACTTAGGAGGTCGAATCAACTCTGATGGATCAATGGCCGATGGAAATTCTGCACAGGTACTAAAGCTTTTCTGGGTGTCTGGCAACTTGCTCCGTTTATACCGTTGGCATAATATCCGACTACTTATCATCATTTCGAGGTGATATTCATCATGAACCGACATCATTTGGAGAGGCAGTGGACAGCTTTTCGTCCTAGTATGGAACTCCGCCACAAACCTCCAAACTGAGTCATTTATTAAGAGTTGAGCATACTGCTCTGCGATTCGCTGTGTACAGCTATGTAGCTGTGAAACAGCCATTAAAGGCCGAGGACATGGGGAGGCTTCAAGGTTTTAAGCGAGATCGCCTTCGTAGCATAGGTCATATGTCATGTTGTAACAAAGTCAGTAACGGCATGGCGTCAGTTCATACATTTTTGTCCTTTGGTCTGAGCGGTGTGGGGGAATGGAAATTGCAGGGAGACAGATGCATACACATGCTATCATTAGTCTTTTTTTCCTAGGATATTTAATCATATTAATCACTTCAATTCTCTACTGGTGACTTTGATTACACTTTTTATGAACCTCTGCCTTTCATCTCTCTACCTTCCATTCTCAAATGTAAGCTGGGAAGCTTAGGCAGTAATAACTGACTGAATCAATTTGTCGCATTGATATTAATTAATCCTTTTTTTGTTTCTGCTTCCTACCATTTTTCACTCCTTTTGTGAGCTATACAAATCTTTTGAATGAGTGCTGCATTAGCAATTTTGTAGTAACACCTGGTATAGTACCCGCGAGTCAAGTATTTAATTTATACGACTTCATTTACATCGGAAGTTCTCTCTGAACTTCCTACTTCTTGATTATTAATAGTTATGATAAAGTTAGTTAGTAGTCTAAAAATAGATCACGTGGTATACACTAGAAACAAACAGCTTCATAGTGCAGTGAGTGCTACCTAACATTATCATTTATGTTAAGGCACAAGCTATTGACAGGTATATCCGATAGCTGAACATAATCAACTATTACCCCTGTTGAGCAGTCAAACCTAAGTTTGTAATGTGAAGAAATGTCAGTTAAAATTTGCTCAAACCAAAAGTGCAAATCATTTTGTAGATAAAATATTCACTTAACATAGATATTAACAAAGAAGGAAGGATTTGTCATACTTCTAGTGCCACTCTTCCAGTCTTTTCTCTTAACTGACTGATCACTCGGATATATCGTGCGAAAAAAGCTTCCCAGTCAACTGAAATCGAAATCTGAACAACTTGGAAAAGTACTTCTCATTTAGATTGACTTATTAATTTATACTTCCGTTGTTACTGTACAAGTCCATCCTGCTCATTCTTCAGTCATTCACAATGACACTCTATTATAAGTAGCATCTTATTACTTGCAGGTACTAATAATGCATAATCCTCAGTGACAATCCCGATTTCCCCAAATTAAAACATGCTAAAATTACCTAATCCACCCTGGTTATTATGAGTGTGCGGTTACCTATTTACGTAAAATTTTTGAATGGAAATGGTGCAAAAGAGGTAAGAAGGCAGAAGGAGGGACTTTAAAGGCCACTCTAGCAACTGAGTTCCTGACAAAGTAAGAAAGCCAAGGATGCAATAAACCACCGTGAAATCTGAAATCATCATTTTGTGGTACTTCTTATTGGCTTCCATTTTCAAACCTGATATGGCCTCCTTGATTATCCTTCCAGTGATTGCTGTGGGTGCAACAGCCTGCTGCAATAATGAATTTATCTTCAGTACCATCTGAAGGTTATCTCTTGGTTACCAATCTTGTAAAGGTTGTAGAGTGAAGGCATAGAGTAAACACAGGTATAAATATGACAAAGATTGCAGAACTGATGGTTGATGTAGACGAATTCTAGATGTTGTGTTTAGTAGTGGATATTTTCCAGGTAAAATAGACGGTTACATATAGAATGCAGATTGATGCGTTTCAAGAAGCTTAAATTAAATTATCGTCGGTCATTATATCTTCCGCATGGTTGTTATACTTGTTTACTGAGTAATTATAATGGGCGGATTAATACTAGTACTCCTTTTGACTAGGACAAAAAGGTCAGTTTTATGGTTTCCTTACTGATTCGAAAGAATAAGGAGCATTTTTGATACAAATTTAATCTGGTGAATATATTCAGAGCGAATTTATAGTTTATCTGTTAAACTTGGATTTAACAACAGTAGGACCTTTGTATTTCCTAAGGTTAAAATCGAAGTTACGTACACCTTACCAAAGGAAGTTATTACTGTATCTCTGTTTATATGAAAACGCCCTGAGAAACGTTTAGAGTCTTGTCTCGATTTCTGGCATGGGACTTGCTGAGCTAGTCAACATCTTTTGCTGGCGAAATAACTTTAAGAGACTTTTCAGGCATCTGCTCACTTTCTGGTCAGTGTTTTCAACCTGTTGTCCGAAACTGCAGCCAGTTGTTCTCAGTTATCGAATACTAATATTATACTTGCTTATTTTCATTTCAAAACATCATTTCGGTGTAATCAATAAGTCCATTGACATACGCTTGAACTCAGATTGAAGACAAAACAACTTCTATTAGAGGTTATTGAAAGTAAATTCAGTCAAAGCAAAAATCTCTTTTCGACATTACTGTTCAAAGGAATGGCATCTGAAATGCATAAGCGTAAACGGCACAACTCGAAAATTGCAATTACGTCTACGTCCAATCTTCAATATGTCAAATTCACTGCGTAGTGTGGTAGGAAAGTAGAGTGAGGAAATGCTGAAACTTTTGGACAGTAGAAAAACTATATCAGCGTGAAATATGTATTCTCATTTGTCGACACCATCAAAAAATGAATCTAAGGGACGAAACAATGTTATCTACAAATATCACACCCTTATTTGCTAATGTCTTGTTTGTATAAACTCTTGATTGTGTACGTGAATAACTAGTAGAACCTGACAAATGAGGAACTTCCAATAGAAATCATCAAAAGGTTATTTTTAAGTGTACGACGAAAGTTGAATTTATGCCTAGTAATTAATTTTTGGACAAGTAGATGGGTGGCGACAGGCAGTGGGAGAACAGTCAGTCAAAAGATGAAATAAATAAAATTGAATACTTTTGCCACTATGCAGACAATACATTTATGGTTTGTG